TATACTTTGTGAATGATCAGATAGATTCATACAACACATTCCCTCAAAATCCTGACACCCGTGCCCATGTGCTAAAAGCAAAAAGTCAATCACTGTTCTATTTTGCAAAACTGCATGTCTCAAACTATTTACATCGCTAGCTAAACCTGTTAAGATTTCAGAGGTAGAGTTAAATTGTTTTACAGCCCAGCACGCCAAAGTTTTAATTTTCTTCCAGTTTGCTGCCGCCATGCCCCCTGGGAGGAAAAGTGACAAAGCAACAGCTTCACCTGTTGTTCCAAGTTTCACATTGTCATCACAATCAGGTGCTAAGTCTTTGAGATCTCTCTTGGTCCGAATGTGATTGGTCTGTCTTACCAGGTCACGCATGGCAGGTGCAAACATGGTTAACTTTCCAATGTAACATGGTCCTCCCACGGGACGAAAAGGAATACCAGGCCAAGCTCTATCACCACATATTAGAAAATAACCATCAGGTAGTATTTTGGCAGACACGTTTTCTACATTTAACTCCCCGGCATGTTTGGAGGTATTCCAATGACTAGATTGCCCGGTCACATTTTGGTAGCCCAGATAATATTGCATTACGCCGTCGGCATGCATGAGACGTTTCCATGAGTCTCCAAAATGGATGACTCCGGATCCATTGATCGGTAAAATCTTTGGGTATATATTGGTACAATTGGTTTGGTTAGAAACATCGCTCACACTTATGACAGGAGGAAATGATCCCCACAAATCCAATTCTTGTAAGGGTAAAGGTGCCGACTCGTTGAGTTGGTATATCAACTGTTGTAAAAAACGTGCTTCTTTCACAATAGGCCAATTCCACGATTTTGAACATTCGCCCCGTGAGTTGTCGTCTCTCCACTGCCAATAAGAGTTATTAATAGCAGTGTAGTTTACTCCCAAATGGCTAAAGTCTGGCCAATGTATGTATGGATAACCAATTAGACAAGTTCGAAAAGGATCACTGGCTTTTTGGAGGGATAGACAAAATTCTGTAACCCCAGACACATTGGCCCAAGTAACCCACATATTTTGTCTTGGGTCAATGTTGTGGATGGCTGCAACAGGGATGATGCTGGATAGAATTAGGTGGTAATACCAGATAACCTTAGTTTTGTTGTTTACATTGCCGTTTTCCCTTGCATTTGCTAATCCGTAATTTATGAAACGCAAAACAAACCCGATCCATATTTTGGGGAGGGACCATCCACCCCCTAGGGATACACAAGTTTTCATCACAGAACCAATCAAGGATCTTGGTGTCATTTTGAGCCATGATTCGGTCATATTCATGTCGTATGCTCCACCTTTGTTCCTGGCTTTCAAAAATTGGGACCTCACTGATTTCTTGGATAGAGAGACCTGTAAACTCCTCTAAAGACCGTATTATGTTATTTCCTCGCCACCTTCGTCACAGCGTGCACACCACCCGTCTAATTGCCTCTGACAGACCCAGATTTCCTCTTTACAACCTCCACACTGTATGAGTATCCATGTTTTATCAGTTTTATGTTTCTGCTTACATGAAATACAAGGCTATTTCCACAGAAAGAATTTGGAATGACAATCCCTAGTGTCTGTGTGATAAACCAAAAATCATCTAAATTTTTCCAACCCGACAGATATTGATATTCAGTGTTCTCCAACAATGGTTTCAAATACTTATCAGTAGCAACATGTAATCGGTGTATGTATCGTTGAAGTCTTTCGTAATCAGGATCCGTCGCCAGGGTCGCTGTCTTTCTGTTCTTCTTCTTCTGAGTCCTGAAACTGTATCCAAGGGCGTACCCACTTTGCTGGGATCCACTTGGTCGTGTTCCCTGTAGAAACACATGCATAACCCCTTCCCCATGTTAATAAATCACAGGGACCTGACCACATATTCTGTAAAGGGTCAAAAACTTGTACAGCAATCTTTTGAGAGGTAAAATCATTAGTATTGGCAATAAAATGATTAAATATTGGTGTTTCAGTTTTATCTGTTCTAGGGTTCAACCAGTTCAGCACATAACAAGCTTTTGCAATAATGGCATGAGGACTCTTTTTCCCCCTGTTTTGAAAATACGTAAATAGTGTTTTAAGGATTGATGAGTGCGTTCTATGATAGCCTGACCTCCGGAGTTATAAGGCACTCCTGTGATATGTTTAATATTCCATTGGGTTAGAAAAGCTTTTACTCTTACACTTAAGTAGGCAGGTGCATTGTCTGTTTTGATGGTGTGAGGGCACCTGAGCACTGCTATAGCAGAGGTCCAATGCTGAATGCTAGCTACAGCGTTAGTAGATTTATGGGCTGTGGCCCAAATGGCTTTTGAGCAGGTGTCAACAGTTACATGGACGTGTTTTAAAATCCCAAAAGGAGCGAAATCTGTAACATCGGTTTGCCAGATTTGTCGAGGCTGTAGTCCTCGTGGATTTGTCCCTTCCTGTTGTAATGGTGTGAGTTTAGCACAATCAGGGCAGGCAGCTATTACGGATCTTGCCTCACTACGGGACAGCTCAAATGTCTTTTGTAAGGCTCTTGCAGATTGATGAAAAAATGCATGTGACCTAGTTGCTTGTTGTATTGGAGATAACTGAATTACAGGCGAGGCTACTTGGCTGTCAATATAGGTGTTACCTTCAGACAAAAATCCTGGGAAGTCAAGATGACTTCTAATATGTGTTATCCACCAAGGGAAACGTCTAAAACTAACTTCATTCCATAACTGAATAACTAGAGCCATGAGTAGTTTATTTGTGAAAGATCCTAGCAAAGAAAGTGAAAGGCGTGCGACTATTCCTACAATGTATTTAGAATCACAGACAATATTAATTGGTAAAGTTTGAAAAGCCTTAAAAGCCATTAAGACAGCTTTCAACTCCAATACCTGCACTGACCCTTCTGCCCGTTCTACTTGCGAAACCCAATTTCCTTGGGTATCTTTGTAGGCATACCCACACTTTTTTGTTTTACTGCTGGCATCAGTGAAGACTGTTATGGCATCAGGAATAGGCTTTTGTTGTTGCAGGGATACTTCTTCGAGTATCAAAGTGGTTTTAAATATTGGATGATGGGGGTAATGGTTGTCCAATTGAATGCCATGAGTGGCTACTGCAAAATTTTCGGAAGATTGGATCCACCAATCCATTAAATTCAAATTTTTCACAGGCAGAATGATTTTTCTGGGTCACACCCAGCAAGGGTGCGCAAACGTCCTCTTGCTTTTAGGAGTAATTGACCTATAGCATCAGGCCTAGTGGTGACAGTAGCTTTGAGAGTATTGCTGTGAAAAACCCACTCTAGGAGTATCATAGGTCTCTGGTCTGGTAATTGTGTGATCAAGGCTACCACTTCAGTGTCACGGTTGTATATAATTATGGTAAATGGGCATTGTAGTATTCTTCTATCAATGGCAGAATTTTGAATTTTTGTGAGATGACTTCTAGGGCTGCAGTTGCCTCAGGTGTAATGGACCTAGGATCAGCAGGGGACGTGCTTCCTTTCAATAAAGCAAACAATGGACCTAAATCCGAATTGGTGATTCCACAAAAAGTTCTGAGCCACTGGATGTCTCCTACTAATTTTTGCACATCATTAACATTACGGACATTTGGGACAATGGCAGTTTTTTGTGGGCTCAGTCTTGTTTCTGTGATGCGCATGCCAAGGTAGTTCCAAGGTGCGTGTTTTTGAACCTTTTCTGGGGCAATTACCAAGCCAAATGCTTGTAGATTTTGAATTAACTCCTTTTCCTTCTGAAGGGATAGAGGCTGTGGACTAGCAACTAATAAGTCATCCATGTAATGATATGTGATAAGATCAGGATTATTTTTTCTCCAAGGTTGAAGGGCTAAATCTACAAACCATTGGCAAATCGTGGGAGAATTTTTCATCCCCTGTGGTAGTACAACCCACTGGAACCGCTTTGCGGGAGCTGCCCGATTAACCGAGGGCACAGTAAAGGCAAATTTGTCACTGTCTTCTTCATGTAATGGAATAGTAAAGAAACAATCTTTTAAATCAATGATTAGCAAATCCCAATTTTGTGGCAACATAGCCGGAGAAGGTAATCCGGGCTGGAGAGTACCCATGTCCGTCATCCTATCATTGACTGCTCTTAAGTCGTGCAGCAGCCTCCATTTTCCTGACTTCTTTTGGATTGTGAAAATAGGTGTATTCCATGGGCTAACAGAAGGTTTTATGTGGCCAAGTTCTAGCTGTTCCTGAACTAAATCCTGTACATGTTGCAGCTTCTCTGAAGATAGAGGCCATTGATCAACCCAAACAGGTTTTTCAGTTTTCCATTTTAATTTGAGTGTAGGGCGAGAGCTGCCATCAATGGCCCCAATCAAAAATCTGTGGACAATTTGACACCCCATTGAGCCAATACATCTCTGCCTAAAAGGGAGAGTGAAGTGTGTAGTACATATGGTTTTACCCATGCTTGATGTCCCTCTTGATCCGAAAAAGAAGAAAATTTTTACTGACCTGAGTCAGACGACTTCCCCCAATGCCTGAAATGGTTGAACCCGTGTTATCTAATTCCCAAGCAGAAGGCCACACTGAAATAGGAAGAATGGTTACATCAGCACCTGTGTCAAGCATCATGGAAATATTGGAAAGAATTAGATCATTGGGTCCGGAAATGTTTACTTTACATTTAGGTCTTTCTACTCCCAAAATTTGACAAAATGCAACGTTAGGTATACCTGTGGAACCAAAACCACCTGTCCCTCTTTCTTGATCTCCTTTTTTTGGGACACAGGCCTTAAAAGGTATAAGCTGTGCAATCACACTCCCTGCTGGAATATGAATTGGTGGTGCAAAAATCTGTACCATAATCCCAATGGGCCCGGTATAATCAGCATCAATACAACCAGGTAGGACAAATATTCCCTTTTTGAAGCAGAAGAACGCCCAATGAGTAATGCTGATAGTCCATGTCCTAAAGGTCCACTGACAGTAGAAAGGAGGACATGAACATTATTATCATTGATATTTACTGATTCTACCACGGCCAGATCGACTCCTGCGCTTCCGCAAGTGGCGGATTGCAGTTCGTCGAGGCAGCCAGTGTTTTTGGAATGTTCTGGGGATATTTCTTGGCCGCGTCCCTCGGAGCGCGGCTGTTCCCGCTTCCCGACATGGTAAGGGGGTTCCATCCTTGCGAAATTTTGAGCGACAATCTGCCGCTTTATGGCCAAATTTTCCACAACGAGCACAATTACCATTTAATGCTATTTTTCCCTTGCCCGCATGTGTACAGTGACGCTTAAAATGACCCTCTTGCCCACACTGATAGCACCTTGGTTTAAGGTTTTGATTACCCTGCCCTTGCAGAGGGTTGATCTTTAGAGCAGCAGCCAAAGCATTAGCATGAATTCGTGCTTTAGTTTCTTCTTCTACTAGTGGGGCCCTTGCACAGGTCTCTATCATTTGAGTAATAGTTGCACCAGGGGGTAAGGCAGCTATAAGCTGCTTGCAGGCCGCATTAGCATTTTGGACAGCAATTTCTTTTGTTAAAAGAGCCTTAAGATCAGGAGTGACATTAGGTGCATTTTCTATTGCCTCTCGCAGCCTGTCAACAAAACTAAAAAATGTTTCATTTGGTTTTTGCATGATTTTTGTATAAGGCAGTGTCGGTGTGTGAATCTGAGGCAGTGCTAGGAAAGCTGCCAAACCAGCGTTTTTTGATTGCTGCAAAATCCTAGTATGCAATGCTGCCTGAGCAGCCCCATCCCGATAAGCACCTGTTCCCATAAGTGCATCTAAGGGTGCCACCCTCAAGGGGTCGCCCTGTGGCAAATGAATATTCTCCATTAATTTCATTTCCAGTTGTTCCTGCCACTTTGCTAGCCAGAGCATATAAGTGGTGGGTGATAAAATCAGCTCCATGACTGCCCTCATGTCTGTTGGTACCATGTCAGTATACTTTATCAGGGAAGTGACTTGATTTCTTACTAATTTGTTATTATGAGAATATTGCATTATTACCTTTTGAATCCCCTGCACTAATTTCCAATCTAGGGGTTCCCAGGTTTGTTGACCCTGTCGCACCACTACAGGAGCTGCAAGTGGGGTAAAAGAAAATTCTCCCTCTATAATACAATTTTCTGCCAGCCCTCGATAACGCTTTTGAGGATCAAAGTTAGGATCTCTAGGTATAAATTGGATATTTTGCCTTTCCTGTTCAATTTCCCCAAAATTGTGCTCAATAGCATTTAACCCACTCATTATAGATTTATGAGCATCCTTATAGGCCTTTTTAATATCCTGTCTCTTTGATCCCCGATCGAGCCGCTCCATCTGATGCAGGAGGTCTGTCATCGTTTCTCTCTGGCTTCGGAGCTCCCGCCGTAACTCTGAATACGCTGTTGGTCGGCGTTCCTCATTACCGCTGTGGAGGCCGCCGTCCTCCGGGGGTGGAGGTGTAAGACGGTCAAGTAGATCGTCATCCGTCTCCATTTCTTCTACCACGGGTGTAGTCGGTACGATCGGAGCGGGCGGTACGATCGGTCCGGTCGGAGCGGTCGGTAAGGGCGGGGCGGTTGGTACGGGCGGGGCGGGCGGTACGGGCGTCACTTACCATGGAAACCATTGTGCATTCCCATTGTGACCTTGGTTACCATGACAACCATTGTGCATTCTCATTGTGACCTCGGTTACCATGGCAACCATAGTGCATTCTCATTGTGACACCACTTATCATGGCAACCATTGTGCAGTATCATTGTGACCTCGGTTGCCATGGCAACCATTGTGCATTCTCATTGTGATGTCATTTACCATGGCAACCATTGTGCATTCTCATTGTGACCTCGGTTACCACGGTAACCATTGTGGATTCTCAGTAACACTCAGCAACCATGGCAACCACTGTGCACTCCCACTGTAATATCGGTTAATATGGCATCTGTTGTGTATTCTCATTGTGACATCAGTTACCATGGCAACAATTGTGCATTCTCATTGTGACTTCAGTTACCATGGCAACCATTGTGCATTCTCATAATGATGTCACTTACCATGGCAATCATTGTGCATTCCCATTGTGATCTCAGTTACCATGGCAACCATTATGCAGTCTCACTGTTACAGTGGTTACCATGGCAATAATTAAGCATTCTCATTGTGACGTTGGTTACAATGGCAACCATTGTCCATTCTCATTGTGATGTCACTTCCAATGGAAACAACTGTGCAATCTCATTGTGACCTCCGTTACCATGGCAACCATTGTGCATTCCCATTATGACCACAGATGCCATGGAACCATTGTGCATTCTCATTGTGACATCAGATGCCATGGCAACCATTGTGCATTGTCATTGTGATTTGGTTGCCATGGCAACCATTTTGCATTCTCATTGTGACCTTGGTTACCTTGGCCACCATTATGGTTTTTTTTTCCTTAACATCGGTTACCATGGCAACCATTGTGCATTCCCATTATTAAATGATTACCATGGTAACCATTGTGCATTTCTATCATCACCTAGCTTACCACAGCAACCATTGTGCATTCTCATTGTGACCTTGGTTATCATGGCTACCATTGTACATTCTCATTGTGACTTTTGGTTACCATGGGAACCATTATGCTTTCTCATTTTGACCTCAGTTGCCATGGCAACCCTTGTGCATTCCCATTGTGACCTCGGTTGCCATGGAAACCATTATGTATTCCCACTTTGACCTCGGTTACCATGGCAACCATTGTGCATTCTCATTGTGGCCTCACTTACCATGGCAACCATTGTGCATTCTCATTGTGACCTCATTTACCGTGGCAACTCTTGTGCATTCCCATTATTACAACGGTTTCCATGGCAACCATTGTGCATTCTCATTGTGGCATCGCTTACCATTTGAACCATTGTGCATTCGCATTGTGACGTTGCTTAGCATGACAACGATCGTGCATTCCCATTATTACATCGGTTACCATGGCAACCATTGTGCATTCTCACTGTGATCTCTGTTACCATTGTGTATTCTCACTGTGACTTTGGTTACCATGGCAACCATTATGCAGTCTGTTACATTGGTTACCATGGCAACAATTAAGCATTCTCATTGTGACGTTGGTTACCATGGCAACCATTGTCCCTTCTCATTGTGATGTCACTTACAATGGCAACAACTGTGCATTCTCATTGTGACCTTGGTTACCATGGCAACCACTATATATTCTCATTGTGAATTTCGTTACCATGGTATATCTTCTGCATTCTCATTGTTACCTCGGTTACCATGGCAACCGTTATGCATTCTCATTGTTATGATTGGTTACCACGGCAACCATTATGAAGTCTCATTGTTACTGTGGTTACCATGGCAATCATTATGCATTCCCAGTTATTTACCATGGCAACCATCTGTAACACACAGATAATATAGAAATGCCAAAAATTGTTTCTACCTGTCAAAAACTTCCTATCAAACATTCTCTGTCAGCTCTCTGCCAGAAGTTCTCACCAGGACTTCCCACGGCACTTTTCCTGCCAAAAGATCCTGCCATTGTTTATGATTATCATATCTATTCCAACATCTGAACTGGCTACGTGCCAAAAAAACATGTTCAAGCTCCTGTGAACACTATAAAAATTGAGGGTAAATTTTGGAAAATGAGGGAGAAAAAAGGGACAAGAACTGGTGACTGTAGCCGAGAATCTCTGCCCACCTCCCCTCACCTTTTCTCCACCACCGCGTGCTGCCTGCCTGCCACCGGAGACTGGAACTGTGCCGGCCTGGAGAGAGCTGAGACCACTGTGCCACATGTGGGAGTTCTACCTTATCCTTCTACCCTGACCATATTTCTGAGGGCCCAAAGCTTCGGCTGAGCTGAGACCCTGCATGGCCTGGGACAGGGGTGTGAGCGGTGAAACCACACATGGTGCATTGCAGAGAACTAAAGCTGTCAGACCCCCTGCAGCTACAGAGATAACATCCAAAAGCTGCAGAGACAGAGAAAAAAAAGGCAGAAACTGCTTCTCTTCTGCCACACTCACCAGCTCAGCTGGAAAAGGTAGCTTTTCAGTGGTATTTTTCTCTGCTTCTAGAAATAATCTTAGCAGTTTCCAACCTTTTCTTATTTTTTCCTCATTCTCTTTGCACCTCTTAGCAATTAATAAAATCAGGTTTTGGTATCAACAGATAACTTGTGTGAGTTTTTATTTTGCTCAAGGGAATATTTGAATCTCTAGTTCTTTCTGCAATATTTAAGCAGATTGTAGCAGGGGACCATGGAAAGATGGGAGGAACGGGAGAAGGGTGGAAAAGGGGAATGGTCTGGATGGTCCAGTGGGTCCGATGGTCCCATGGGGGTCTTTGGGCACAAAGGGGTAGGAAAGGGGGGTGCCCCCTGAGCTCCCAACTGACTGTGGGGTGCTGGGGTTGCTGGATCCAATCTCAGCCTTAGGTTTTGCCAACAGGTTCAGCTTAGAGGAATTACAGAGGTGGGACTGAACCACTTTTGTCCCCCAGGTTTTAATGATGGCAAATCACACCTATTGATAGAAATGAATTCTTTAGGGTTACAAATGATCAGACAAAAGATCTTCATTCAGAATTATTTACTGCACAATAGAAACACTAAAACTACCACTAGTACAGCATAAGATAGGACAGTGCTCTACACTAAAGCAATTGTTGAAGCAATTCTACTCAAGCTGGCACCAAAGCAAGAATTATGAATTAGAGATGGATGGAACTCCCCCAGACCAAAGCTCATGGGGAGATCTCTGCTCTCAACCTCCAGCAGTGACCTAGGGGGGTCCCAGCCAAGGTAGGAATCTCCACACACCCCCAAGAAGGGTTCTATTGGTAGAAAATGCCCCTGGCAAAGGGGACTGGCCCTTTCTGGTAGAAAGGGGTGAACTGACAGTCCCTGGACTCCAGGGTTTGCCTCACCATCAGGGGGTCATTCGGGGTGGGAGCAGTGGTAAAGGTTTTCCCCGCAGTCGGGGCACTCGTACGGTTGCCCTTACTGGTGGGTCCGTTGGTGTAGGGTCAAGGCAGAGCTCTGGGTGAAGCTCTTCCCACACTCCTCACACTTGTAGGGCCTCTCCCCGGTGTGGATGCGCAGGTGGCCAACCAGGTGGGAGTTGCAACTTGAAGCCCTTCCCACAGTTGGTGCAGCGGAAGGGCCTCTCCTCTGTGTGTGTCTGCTCATGCCTGAGGAGCTTGGAGCTTGTCCGAAACCTCTTCCCACATTCCAAGCACTTGTAGGGCCGTTCTCCGGTGTGGATGCGCTGGTGTCGAGTCAGGGTGGAGCCGTCACTGAAGCTCTTCCCACACTCCCCACACTTGTAGGGCCTCTCCCCAGTGTAGATGCGCCGGTGGCTGACGAGGGTGGAGTTCTGTTTGAAGCTCTTCCCACAGTCAGTGCAGCGGAAGGGCCTCTCCCCTGTGTGTGACTGCTCGTGCCTGAAGAGATGTGAGTTGGTCGGAAACCTCTTCCCACATTCCCTACACGTGTAGGGCCGTGCCCCAGTGTGGACGTGCTGGTGTCGGATCAGCTTAGAGCTCTTTCTGAAGCTCTTCCCACATTCCAAGCACCTGAAGGACTTCTCCCTGCTGGGAGGCTGCTCAACAGATGCACCACAAGACAGGGCCAAAGGGGCACTGACTTCCTCCTCACCTGCCTGGGGGGTCCATGGTAGCTTTCTCTTCCTTGCAGCCTCCTCCTCCATCCGCTCAAGCTTTGGGAAGGACAAATCCTGCTGGGGGAAACAAGGGCTGAGCGTGTTAGTTTGGGGGTTCCTCCTGATCAAGTCCATCCCTAGGCCATACTGGGACCATAAACACCTCCAAAACATTACAATTCAGCCCAGAAAAACCCAATCCACAAACATTCATGCAAAAAACCTCTTCAGAAATGGCAAAGTGGACACCTCCCAAATTGTAAAAAGTTAAGAGTTCAGCCAAAATATGAAGATTCAGCCCAAAAAAACTCTCACAGGAGTCCCCCTCTCTGGTCTCTCCCCTCCGGGGTTCAGAGAGTCTCCCTGTCTGGGATGTTGGGGGTCCTACTTAGGGATGCTGGGAGTGTTGGGGGTCCCAAGGGTCCCTTCTCCTCTGACTCTCACCTTCGGGGTGCCTCCTTCCCCCTCTCCAGGTTCTCCATCTTGTTGTCCCGGGGATCCCAGGGGTTCCCAGTATCCAGGCTTCCCCGTTTCAGGCTCCTGGGGGTCCTGGGGCTCCTCCCTCTCCGTGCTCCCCCCTCCAGCCTGCCGGGGGCCCCCAGCTCCGCCATCGCCCGCTCCGCCCTCCACCCTCGGCAGCTCCCAGGGGGACCCCAAAACTGCTGTGTCTGCCCAGCCAGCCCCGGGCTGACAGTGGCCCTGACCCTGTCCCTGCTCCTCCCTGCAGGCTCCGTGGCCGGGCACACTTTGTGTTCCTGGGGGCCACCAGCTCAGCAGCTGCAGCCGCTCCAATCAGCGCCCGCAGCTCTGCAGCAAAGCCCCAGCTCACCTGGCACACAGGGCATGGACACAGCACCTTCTCGCTGCTGGGCACTCCCAGCTCAGCCTCTTCCCCAGCATGGGGCTCTCCTGCCTCAGCACCACCTCTGCCTTCCACTTCTTCTCAGGGCCACCTCAGGGCCTGCTCTGGGCTCACCTCTGGGCCATTTCTCAGGGTCACCTGGGTGGGAGAGGAGGGGCAGCACCACAAGTAGGTGAGTCCCGAGACCCCCCTGGTGTCCCCAATGTCCTCAGGGCCTCCCCATGGCCCCAATTCCCCCCTTGACGCCCCCAATTCCACTGTCCCCAAACCCCATCCCAAATGTTTCCAGCCCTCTGTCACCCCCTAGAAGCCCCCTCTGACCACAGACCACGCCCCATTCCCCCTTCACACTCATAGAAAATTCAAAGACATGTGGAGACACGTTGGGGACAATTAGGGGGCTTTGGGGGGCACTGGGTGATTACTGGAGGATACTGGGACATACTGGGGGGAACCAGGGGGCACTGGGAGGGACTGGGGGGTTATTGAGGGATGCTGGGAGGGCACTGGGAAGGACTGGGTGATTACTGGGGGATTACCAGGACACACAGGAGGACACTGGGAGGTTACTGGGCCATACTGGGTGTTACTGGGTGCTCACTGGAGGATCATTGGGCCATACTGGGGGACAGTTGGAAGTCACTGGGAAACACTGGGTGGTCACTGGGGGGGTTACTGGGCCATACTGAGAGTCACTGGGAGGTCAGTGGGCTATACTGGGGGCACTGGGGGGGCACCCCCACAAGGCTTTGGGTGGCACCCCCAGGACCCCTCCCCTGAGGACTGCGAGACCCCTTGAACCCCACTGATTGGCTTCTGGGGACCCCGGGATCCCCTCCCGGTGGGGTCTCTGTGTGCTGAGTTTTGGGGGTCTCTGGGGTTCGGGGGGGCATCAGAATTCCCTTTCCCTGCGGTAGGTCCGCCCAGCCGGCAGGGGGCGCTGTGGCACAAGTGGCAATGGCGGCGCCCCGCGAGGCCTTATGGGAGTTGAAGTTCCCTCGTGGAAACTCCGCCGGCGCCTGCGCAGTGCAGCCATGGCGTTTAAACCCCCCTCTTGAGAGGGTTGCATGGCTCCACCGCTTTCAGGGACCTCCTAAACCCCTTCAGGCACCTTCACCCTCCCCTCTGAGCGCCCTCAGGACACCAAATCCCCTCCGCGACCTCCCGGGAGCCCCTCACGGACCTCAAAACCTCCTCGGGAACCCCCGAGCCCCTCCTCTCCACTCTGCCGAGCCCTCCAGCCTTCCCGCTCACAGCCGCGCTCCCCGCAGCCCCCGAGCGCATCCCCAGCCCCGCCGCAGCCCCCGCCACTGCTCACCGTGCTGAGCAGATCCCGCTGTCGCCGCCATCGCTTTCCCGGCAGCCACCGCGGGGCTGTGCGCGCGCACCGCCGGCAGAGACCCCGCCCCGCCCCCTTTTCCGCGCGGGGCACGCCGGGAGTTGTAGTTGCAGCGGCTCAAAGCTCCAAACTCCCCCAGACTCAATTCCCCACGGGCGTTCCTGGGGCAGAGCGGGGCAGAACCGGGGCGGGGACGGGACGGGCATTGGGTGGAAGTCATTATAAAAACTGTAACCCCTGTGTTGGAAGGGATAGGTGTGGGTTTGTATTCCTGGAACCTCCTGAAAACCTCTGCTGCCTGTCTGACCTCCTGTCTTGTTGGGCCTGGAGTCTTTTCCCTCTGCAGCCTTTTAGGGAACAACGTTTATGGGGTTTATGAGGACATGACCTTTATGAGGAGAGCCTCTTATGAGGTGTATGGGCTTTCTGAGGACAGCACCTTTATGACCTGCATGGGCTTTATGCAGAGAGATCTTTTATGATGAGAGCTCTGTCATGAGGTGTGTGGGGTGTATGAGGACAGTGCTTTTATGACATTTATGGTGTTTATGAGGGCAGAACCTTTATGATATGACCCCCTCTGAGGTGCAAAGGCTTTATGAAGACAGAGCCTTTATGAGTTTTATGGCATTTATGAGAACATCTCCTTTATGATGACAGCCCCATGAGGAGGTTTATGGGCCTTATGAGGACAGGGGCCTTATGAGGCCTGCAGCGTTATGAGGTGTGTGAGGGTTATGAGGACAGAGCCTTTATGAGGCTGCCCCATTATGGGGTGGATGGGTTCTATGACCACAGAGACCTTCTGAGGCTGCCCCATTGTGAGGTGGATGGGGTTTATGAGGAGAGAGACTTTATGAGGAGAGACACTCTAGGATGGCCCCTTTATGAGGTCTATGGGCTTATGAGGCGAGCAGCTTTATGACATCTAAGGGAGTTATGAAGACAGAGCTTTCATGATGAGAGCTCTTCTATGAGGTGTTTGGGCTCTCTGAGGCCTGCACCATTGTGAGGTTTATGGGCTTTATGAGGGCAGTGTCTTTATGAGGCCTGCACTTTTATGAGGTGGGTGGGGTTTATTAGGGCAGAGTTTTTATGGCATTTATTGGGTTTTATGAGGACATAGCCTTTATCATGGGATCCCCTTATG